ACATTCCTTGCCCAACTACATTCATGGTCTTATTGAGATGACTTAAGTGACACTGGGAGCAGAGGGTCAAACCTGCAGACACTCAGATTTGCCTTGTCGGGGGGAAATTTTCAGCACTTCAAACTTAGCACTGAGCTTGATTCAGAACAGAAGGAAATATGTTCACCACTTGCCACAAAGGTACCACTAACCAGCTGTTTTCTAAACATTTTGACATTGAAATCTTAAAGAACACTTCCATAAATTATTTTTGCATAGAATAGTCCCACAAAGACCCAAAGAACTGCGAGGAAGGGGAAGGAGTGCCCCAGAGCTCCCGGCACACACTCAGAAAGTGTTCAGAGTCATTCAGATGCTGGGTTGTACCTTGGAGAAGGGTTTTCACGTTCCCCGTCCCCTGTTTTGGCAAGCCTACCGCATTCAAATTTCACTCAAGACAACTGAACTCTATCTCCAAATGGTGGCATAGATTAAGTGTTCGTGTTCCTGGAGGAACTAATGGCATGTTTTAAGGTGAATATGACTTTCCCATTGACGATTTAATTTTTAGAAACTGTCAACTGCAGAGGAGAGGTGGACGGTTTTCATTTGAGCAACACGTAACATCCTGTAACAAAGCTCTCTATTTTTTACTGTCTACTGAACTTGACATCCCCACTAGCAGCTTAGGAACTTCTGGACTTGCTCTTTCCTCAGCAGTATTCTCCTCTTTCTGCACAAAGAAGGAAAAGTGTAACGAGATGGCAGCAAGATGTACATGATCATGGGTTACTTCAGAAGATGATTCAGAAGAATCTTGACCCAGAAAAACAAGAGCTATGAAAGACAAACATAGACATGGCTCTGAAATAATTATACTATTATTCATGACACATGTAGAAGTCCAAAATGCCAAATCGAATTTATTCGGGGATAGCACTATTCTTATTTCACAACACAATCTCACAGGGCTTAGTCAGTGGCTGGTGGCACACACAGCAGTCAGGATTATCAACTTATATTAAGTCATTCACTGGCAATAATGTGTCCTTCCCTTCAATGTGCCACCACTTAGTTTCATAGAAAATAAAGATAATAACAGCCACGGTACATATTCTAATGTTCTCACAATTTAGGAAATCAAAACACTTCATTAACACTCATTAAAGCTGTTGCAGGGGAAAATTGTTACCTTACCACAAAATTCATATTTGCCTACTGGAAGACACCCCTGTATGTAGCAATAGAGTCTCTAAAAATGCAGAAATGGAAACTGTAAGAGCACGTACCAACTGCTGCAACTTCCTTAGCCTGATGATGGGTTTTTGAACCTGAAAGCTTGCCTAATAATTATTTTCCAACTCTTTGGGTTGGTTTAATAAAAGATATCAGATTCACCCAAGGAACCTTGTCTGCCTATGTCCTTAGACCAACACGGCTACAGCCTGCACCCCAGACCACACTCATTCATTTATAAGCTTTAATTAGGTCCTGTGTTGTTATAGCATTAAATTTTGGAGGTTTTTAATTTGAATTTAATTGGTATTTAAAAACCAGTGCAGGTTTCTTCCTCTTTTTGTGAAAAAAAATTCTTTTAAATTTCATACAGCAGATTGCTGGTGGTATCACTTAACACAGCAATCAAATACTAGGACAAGAGAAAAAGGTGAAAGACTTTTCTCCTTTCTGAAATAAAAAGAAAACTTTGTTGGGGTGTTGTTCTGTGAGAGGGTTGGAAGCTCTTTGTAACACATGGCTCCTACCATGCACCAGGTCTCGGCAGGATTCAGATTAGCTCCATCATCTCAACACACTTCACCTCATTCTTTCACTACTTACGGATTCAGGGCTGTACCTCAAAGCTGTTATACGACTCCATGCTTTCCTTTCTCCCACAACCATCCCCAGCCATCGCCAGCAGGCAGATCACCAATAGGCTTCTGCCATGAATCCTGATTCTGCCACACCGGTGAAACCACTGGAGGCCAATAAAGAAAAGAAATTGCACTTGACATGAGGGGATTTCAGCTGCGGGGGGCGTAGGCAATGGTAAAGTCACTGAAGTCCATCCAGATTTTTCTTTTTTCTTTTTTTTTAAGTGGGATTCTGTACGCCTTGAGGCATTTGACGTTCTTCTACCAGTCAATGGGCGTTAGCTAGCTTTGCTAGACATTGAATCAGAACATTTTGGGTTTGTATCCGAGCATAATAAATAAAGGCTCCTTCCCCGCTTTGATTTTCAGAACCCCCTGCATGTAAGACAATGGAGAAACTGGTGTTTCTCATCCGATTGTTGTCGCTGGAGAGTTTGAGAATCCAAATGAAAACAATAAATGGAACCTGTAAGACTAGAATTGATGTTATATGTGCTCCCCATAAGGAAACTGTTTCCATTATTCTACCATTATTAGAAACAGCGGCGTCACTGAAAGCACCTGAGGAAACAATCATGCATCAGAATATTGGAGATACATAGATCAGGCACCTCGCAGAGCTCCTGCATCCTCAGGACTGTCACATACGGCGCGGACAGACCTGGGTGCTGAGCGCTGCTGAAAGCCATGCCGGTAAACTCAGCCGTGAATTTGTATCTGGCTTTTCATTTCCAGCTCCGTCACTCCAGGGCTTTCAAGCACTCGGCAGTCTCTATTCTTCCCTGTAACCCTACAGGAGGAAACCTTCATCATCTCAGTTCAGGGTAATGCCATGGGGCACGACTGCCTCCAGTTTCATGTAGACACAAGGATGCAGACAGGGCCTGGGCTCCCCCGTTTTCAGAGAGCTGCGTTTACATTCCATAAATTGCAGGTGAGATCTGCTTAGGATGGATTTGTCTTAATTTGGACATGCTTTTGCCCAACCCAGGCTGGAGGTAGGAATGACTGGGAGGGAGGCATGACAGCGCTCTCTGTTTTTAATAGTACTCAAGGAAAGGGCTGGAGAGATTGGAAGGCTGATATTCTGTTTCTGCAACGTAGGAAGTGCAGTATTATCATTCATGGAGCGACAGCTGAAAAGGACCACGGGCTCTATATGAGAGAGGAGTGCAAACATCCCATCTGGACTAGGAGGAAAGACCAGGGTGCACAGACATACTCCAGGGCCGATTTGCATCTCTATGTATCACTTCAGTAGGAATTGAGTCATGCTGGGTATGGGGATCTGCACAGGAGGGAATTTTACCAGCATGCCGGCAAATAAGGAAGAGAGGGGAAAAAACCCAGGAGACCAATATTATGCTGCAGAGGAAGTTTAATGTACAGAAGAAATTGAGAGACCAGGGTGCACAGACATACTCCAGGGCCGATTTGCATCTCTATGTATCACTTCAGTAGGAATTGAGTCATGCTGGGTATGGGGATCTGCACAGGAGGGAATTTTACCAGCATGCCGGCAAATAAGGAAGAGAGGGGAAAAAACCCAGGAGACCAATATTATGCTGCAGAGGAAGTTTAATGTACAGAAGAAATTGAGAACACAGACACAGAAGGGATTCAGAGGAGACAGGAAATGTTTTGAAGTTTTTCCAAAGGGCCGCAGCCGGGATTATACACCTGTTGTCACCAAACATCTTCTACACGTCTGTGGCTGTGTCAAGTGCTCTGCAGTGGATTACAAGTGGACTCTAGGGAAGCAGAGGCTTCCTTTTAAATGACAGCACAGCATGAAGAGGCCTTAATGCTTAACAGTGCAGGGAATACAAAGTTGCTGGAGTAACAAAGCAAAGGGTAGGAGACAGGAGAATGGGGGAGGGAGTCTTGTAGCAATGGCGAGCTCTCACACTGGAGGTACTGAGTGCTTAGCACTGCTCCAAGTCATGTCTGTCGGGTCAGCCGTCAATCTGTATCTTGCGTTTCATGTCCGTGTTGCTCCAAGTGCCATCAATATTCGAACTGGATTTAGCATGGCCAGCACCTTCCATATCTGCCCCTACTGCGCCACCCTGGGCACCAGCACATACCCTGCCAAATTAGCTGTCCAGTGCATGGATCATAGCAACAACACCAACATCGCCTTCTACAGGGGGGTCTCCAACAACAAGATGAGTCCTGGTAGTGCAGGTCTTCCAACATGTCCAGGCTGTCAGACATCTTGCTGTGCTGGAGGCGAACCTGGAACAGCAGGAAACAGAGGGAACATGACACATCTGCAGAGGAAACGTGACACATCTGCAGTTCTTATAATTGAAGGGTCCAAAATTCAGTGAGATTGGGGGATGGAACAGGGAAATGCTGACCTCAGCCCTCCTTTCTGCCAGTGTTGCTCCTCTCCCTTGCTCCACTTGCCCATAGCCTCTCCTCTAAACAACGGTTTGGAAGACTTCTCACTTCCTTTGGCTGCAATATGCTGATTGGAAAGTAGGCTCCCTGCTCCTGTCAGGCAGCTGAGTGGGGATGGGGGAGGGAGCCTTTAGTCCAGGCCTAGACAGCCCCTAGGAAACGTTGCAGGCACAATCCTGGTACGTGGCAGATCTGTCTTCACTTCAGGACCCAGAAACCAAGTTTTCCACTTTCTGTCTCCTATCACTAGGATCTGCTGGCCAAGAATGGATTGTACCTCTGGTGCTTGTTGCACTGCAGCAGGGATTCAGCCGCAGGCAGTTTTGGATTGTGGAATCCAGTTGTGGATTCTCCATGGCCGGGCAAAGTCAGAGCTGCTGGGAATAATCCTAGTTGGGGAAAGAGGTGGGATTTAGGATGCTGCTCCCTACCTTCTGGGCTTTGCAGTGGCTGAACTTGTGGCCTGGCTTGGGTTGGAGGAGCTTGAGTCTCTGCTTTTAAGCTAAGGGGGCCATGGACACCTAAAGACCCTGAGCAATGCTCAAAACCAACGAGCAGAAGTAGAATATCAGTTTTTATATTACAGCTGAAAGAGAGATACTTGGAAGAGATGAAGCTGAATTGGACTTACCTGGCTCACCAAAGAGAGAAGGCAAGAAGTGATTAAAACCTCCTCATTTGTGCGACCTTTTATACAGTTCTCAGTCTGCCGGGAGCATTTCCGGCATCTTCTGTCCTTCAGGTCCTTGTTAGTGACAAAACATGCGTGTGTTGTGTGTGCCAACCCACCAAATACTGTAATTGTTTTGTTCCGTGTTTGTAATTATTGTGTTTTTTAATATAGCTTAGGGCTGGCAAACTACACCCGCACAGGTGTCTTTTAAATTAAAAGTTTATGGGTCAACCTTCTTCCTGGTCTTGCTCTATGGACTTTATTGGAGTTGGAGGATTTGGGGGATGTCTGCAGGATACGCTCAGCAGCCGTTGGTGGGAACATTTGCTCTCATGTGCATGAATCCAGTTTGATTCATGCTTTTATGTGGTGGGGAGAGGGGCGTTTCTGCAACTCGAACAGGAGGAGGAGACATTGTTTAGTATGATCAGGTGTGCACCCGAAATTTTCTGATTCGGTGCCCACCAAAACCCATGGATGTCATCCCATTGACCTATGGAAGGACTAACATGCTTCATACGTCTTGTGAACCCCACCTACCATTTTCAAAAATTCTGGAGTTCCTTTAACTTTGACTTTGTATTATTTAATTTTTAGTTAAGCGTTTTTTTGATGGGGGTTTAGGTTTGTTTTTGTCTCTGGGCTGAATTCCTCCCTTATGTCAATTAGAGATTTATTTCTTCATTAATCTCCAGTGGTTTCACCAATGCAGCAACAGCAGGGTTCACAGCAGAAGCCTATTGCTGCGCTGCTTGCTCGTGATGGCAGGGCATGGTTGAAGGAGAACAGAAAGCATGGGGTCTTAGAAAGGTCTGAATCACAGCTTTGAAGCTGTATGAGATGAACATCTTTGACTTTTTCCATGCCGAGCCAAGACAGTTGTTGGCAAGCTCATATGTTCCAAATACAAAACCTGGGAAGATACACCAATGAGAGACAAAGAAACCCCGTTCCTGCTCATCTGGGAGCTGCAGAGGGAGGGTCAGGGGAGAGAACAGTGCGGTTTTGTTCTGCTTCAATATTCTTCTCCTTAATATGCCCTCTGCCACTGGAAGACACCTGCGCCCTACTGCATGGACCCAGGATCTGTCCCGTGTGGCATTTCTTGTCTTCTTACTGAGGTGAAATGTGCTGAGATGACTGAGCTAATCTGAACACTGCCCAGACTTGTCGTGTGATGGGAGCCACGTTTTGCAAAGGGCTTCCCACCCTTTTACAGAACGGGTGTCCAAGAAAGTCTCTCTCTCTCTCTCTTTCAAGAGTCTTAGAAGTTGATGGCTGTGTTGAGTGCTACCACCAGCAGATCTAGCCTGTGAAGCTTAAAATAAAGTTGTTTACACAAAAGAGAGAGACATTGGCCACTGCTTTTAAAATGCAATTTAGAAAGCCCCAAATTCCAAGGCTATAATAACACATGATGTAATTAAGATTTAAAAATCCAATCAAGTCAATTTGATTTGCATAATTTAAATATCTCTATTGCTACATACAGGGGTGTATCCACTAGGAAAGTATGAATTTTGTAGAAATGGAACAATTTTGTCCTGCAAGAGCTTTAATGACAGTGAATGAAGTGCTTCAATTTTCTAAATTCTGAGAATATTAGAATATCCACCGTGTCAGTTATCAGCCCTAGGTTCAGTGAAACTAACCTGTGACATGGTGAGGTGAAGTCATGCTATTGCCAGTAAATTAGTTAATAAATTTGATAATTCTGACTGCTACACGTGAACCTGCAACCGCATGAGGCTTGTGAGAGTGTGCCTCAAGATAACTTTACACTATGTGCTATTAATTAAGGTTTGGCATTTTGGACTTCTAAATGTGTCATGAACAAGAGTATAATTATTTCAGAGCCATGTCCATGTTTGACTTTCATGTCTCTTGTTTTTTTGGGTCAAGCTTCTCCTGGACCATCTTATGAAGTAAAGGATGAGGAAGTACATCATGTGGCCATCTTCTTTCACTTCACCTACTTTGTGCAGGAAGAGGAAAACACTGCTGTGGAAAAAGCAAGTGTGGAAATTTCTTATTGCAGACATCATGTGGCCATCTCCTTTCACTTCACCTATTTGTGCAGGAAGAGCAGAATTCTGGTGAGAAAAAAGCAAGTATGGACATTTCTTATCTTCTAGTGGAGATGTCACATTGACACGTTCAGTAGATAATGCAAAGTGGAAAGCTTTTTTATAAGATGCTACAGGTTGCTCAAATGAAAAAAAACTCTACTTCTCCTCTGCGGTTGACAGTTCCGAAAAAAATAAATCTTAATGGGAAGTCCTACTCATTTGAAAACATCCCATTAGTTCCTCTAGGAACATGAACACTTGATCTGTGCAGGTGTTTTGAAGATGAACTTGAAATGTATGGAGGGGATTTTGAGTGCGATGGAGACGGGGACAATGAAAACCTGTCTCTAAGGTACAACCCAGCATCTGACTGACTCTGAACACTTTCTGAGTGTGTCGGGAGCTCTGGGAAACTGCTCCCCCTTCCTTGCGGTTCTTTGGGTCTTTGTGGAAATGTTCTCAAAGATTTCAATGTCAACATGTGTAGAAAACAGCCTGTTAGCGCTAACTTTGTGGTAAATAGTGAAAATATTGGCTTCTGTTCTGAATCAAGCTCAATGCCAAGTTCTAATTGCTGAAGAAATTCCCCAAAAAGGAAACCTTGAGTTTCAGCAAGTTTTTCCCTACCCTCCTGGTATACATCTATTAAGTTATGTCCAAAAGACCAGGAATGTAGTTGACCCAGAAATGTTTAGGATGGTATAAACAAGCAATGTGCATGTGGAGGCAGGGAAGAAAATTAATAATCACAAGCAACCAGGAAAACAATTATTTCAATTGAAGGAGTGGCATCCACAACAGTATGTTTTGTATCTGATAAGGGAAAAATGGGTGTGTTGCATGCACCACGACATTTCAGAAGCTGTATAAAAGGACCTGCACACCCATGCTCTTTACTCGTTTCCCTTGCTTTACTCTCTGTGGTGAATCAGGTAAGTCCTATGCAACTCAATCTCTTTTAACTGGGGCGATATTATGTTAAACGTTCTTTTAACATTAGGACTGTTTGTTCTACATATACTCTAGGATGTTTTAGGGTATTAAGAAGCACTGAAGAACTGCCCAAGCTTTCCAAGGAAAGGCAGCAAGTTGACAGACACATGGGAATTTGGGGTGCTCACTCTTATTTTTATAATAAGTTTTGGGTGTTTGAATGATTGAGACTGACAAACTTCACACCCAGCTTTTAACTTCGTTGTGCACAGAAGAATTTCCACAGTGCATCCTTTCCAAGTTTCCTTCCTCCTTTCAGAAGCAAGTGGTACTTGGTGTTACTGGGGTGTAAAGATTAACAGAATTGCTGTTCTGATCCATTGGGTTTTTGTGTGTACGATTAGAAATTAGTGGATAAGGGGGCTGGAGAGGGCCTGGTCAGCAAAGCAGCTTAACAACGGCAGATGTGTCATGTTTCCTCTGCTCCCTGCTGTGTTTCAGGTTCACCTCCAGCACAGCAAGATGTTTGACAGCCTGGACACGATTGAAGACCTGTCTTATCAGGGCCAGTCTGACTGTTTTCCCTACCAGCGTAGAAGGCCACGATATACGTGTTGTTGCTATGACCAATGCGGAAGGCTGGTCTGGCGAGGTTGCTGCTGGTCCATACCCCCCTGGTGGTGCCATCAGGGTAGCCCTGGAGGCTGCTGGCCATGCTAAATCCAGCTTGAATATTCACGGCACTTGGAACAACACAGCTATCAAAAGCAAGATATAGATTCACAGCTGACAGGAAGGACATGGCTTGGAGCAGTGCTAAGCACTCAGTACCTCCACTGTGAGGGCTTCACATTGCTAGAAGACTCCCTCTCTTATACACGTGTTTCCTATGCCTAGCGTTGTCACTCTAGAAACCTTGAATTCTCCACATTAAGCATTAAGCACCTGAAGCATTAAGACCATTCATGCCGTACACTTATATAAACGGAAGCGTCTGCTTCCCTAGAGTCGACTTGTAATCCATTGCAGATCACCTGACACAGCCACAGTGGTGTCAAGGGGTTTGGTGTAAACAAGAAAGAGAAGCTGTTTTATTCTTTGCTTCTAACTAAAATCTCGGCAACAGAATGTGTCAACAAGAAAGAGAAGCTGTTTTATTCTTTGCTTCTAACTAAAATCTCGGCCACAGAATCTTTATCATGTAGAAGCTGCTTATTCTCCTCCTTACCTGGTGCTTTTCATCATGTGACATTATCCAGGGAGAAAAGTTGTAAATAAATAGATAGAAACAGCTTAGAAGTAAAAGTCAGCAGCTGCGAAGAAAGAAGCACACCTTGTACAAAATGGGCCAGGCATAGAATCATGGTTGTAGCTCTTTGGAAATCCTTGGGAGTATTTGCTCTCTCCCCAGGATCCCTTCTGTATCTGTATAACTCTAGTTCTTCACTGTATTAAAATTACTCTGCAGCATAATATTTCCCTCCTGGGATTTTTCCCCTCCATTCCTTATTTGCAAACAGCTGGTGAAATTCCCTCCTGTGCACATCCCCACACCAAGCATGACTGAGTTCCCACTGAAGTCCTACACAGAGATGAAATTCAGTCCTGGAACATGTCTCTGTGTCCTGGTCTTTCCTCGTAGCCCAGATGGGGGCTTTGCTATTGTTTCTTGTTTTCAGCACCTGGTCTTTCCAACTGGGCTCCAAGTGGCACCGTTAATACTGTACTCTCTATATTCCAGAGAGATACTGGAAATCCTCAAATCTTTCCAGCTATTGCCACCCTGGGTTGATTGAAAGCCTTTTATTAGTAAGGCAAATGCATCTAAAGCAGAAGGATGAGCCCCAGCTGTTCTGGATCCCTGCATCTTCGTGTCATTGGAGGCAGCAGTGCCCGATGCCATTGCCCAAGATCTCAGATTTGGAAGATTTCCTGCGCTGCCTCTGCACTTATTCTAGTACACACTAGCACAGAACGGTGAATGCCGCGCTGATGCATTAATGTGCCACTTAAAGCACGTGTGCCGGCACTACTGTGCAGTACTGCCTATTACT